CAGGCTGGTCTCGAACTCCTGACCTCAAACGATCCACCCGCCTCAGCCTCCCAGAGTTCTAGGATTACAGGCATGAGCTACCTCGCCCGACCAGGAACTGGACATTTTAAGTAGTATAATGTAGTAACTCTAAAAATCTGGTTCTTCCCCCCTTCCTAGATTGCTTTTTGTTCTTGTGGGGGTACAGTCTACCATTCTGACTTTTCCAAACTACCTTTTCTGCAAAGTCTATATTCCTTGTTTTATGTGCACCTTCAGGTTAGGGTTCTGTTGTCTGTGTGGTCAGACTGTGATCTGACAAAAGTCTCTTTCAATGTTGTAATTCAGCCTCTCTCCCTGCATCAGGCACCACCCTGGTTGCTTTGTCCCGTGAAGTTCCAGAGTTATGAACAGTTGATTGTGATTGGTTTTTTCCAGCTTAATATTTGTTTTGTTGTTAGGACTGACCCCTGAAGATTTTTACTCTGCCATTTTTTTCTGACATCAGTAGTAATGTATTTGAATGTGAAAATCATATTAAATATACCCGTTAGTGTTTAATTATGACATTTCTTATATTGGTATTCAGTAAGAAAATCGAAGATAGATTTGTTAAGAGGAAAGTAATCATTCATAATCATAACTCCTAAAAGCATTTTATAGCTAGTCACAATTTTTTCAGTATCTTTCCACACTTTTTCCTCTATCTGTACATTCCTTATTAATAAATATTTATGGACTATTTTCAGTGTGCCAGGTGCCTGCTAGGTTCTTAGGCTAGAAGGTTATAAAATACGGACATCAGGCTGGGTGCAGTGGCTTACACCTGTAATCCCAGCACTTAGGAAAGCAAGGCAGAAGGATCGCTTGAGACCAGGAGTTCCATAACAGCCTGGGCAATATAGCAAGACCCCATCTCTACAAAAAAATTTTTTTTTAATTAGCCAGGCATGGTGGCACATGCCTTAGTCTTAACCACTCAGGAGGCTGAGGCAGGAGGACCTCTTGAGCCCAAGAGTTTGAGGTAGGTTGAGGTTTCAGTGAGCTATGATGATGCCATCACACTCTAGCCTAGGCTACAGAGTGAGACCCTCTCTCAAGGAGGGGGAAAAAAGGGACCCCAAGGAGGAATATTAAGGAGCCAATGGAAAAGCAGTACAGTATTAAAGAAAGAAAATGTTTTAAATGTATTAAGGACGATCAAATGGTCAAAAACCAGCTGACATTTATTGGCTTTTTATTATGGTGTCAAGTATACTACAAATAGTATCTGATTTAATCCTCAAAACAGTTCCTGGCATAATTACTGTTTTTCCCATTTTACAAATGAAAATACCAGCAAGGGTAAAGTCACACAGCTAACAAGTACCCTTTTGTTTTCTTTCCTTCTCTCTCTTTTTTTTTTTTTAAATTAAACCTTAGCAGTATAGCGCCCTTCAAATTTAACAATAAAACACTCACCGTAACCTTGGCAGGGGCAGCTGCAGTAAGGCAATGTAAGTGATAGCCAAATTGCCAAAGTATAAGGAATAAAGATAATGTAGACAGATCTTTAAAGGAATTAGCAGGCGTAGCAATAGGAAGTCTCTGGAAAGAGCCCGAATATGGGGTGTGGTTGTAGGGGTGGTAATAAATTGAGGTGAAGTATTCAAAAGGAAGAATAGACGGGATCCTACGGCCAGGTAAAGGGAAGGGAGGGGAATGAAAATAATGGTCCAGGATTGATGTTAAGAAGTTTAGGAAGTCTCATCTAGTGACTTTTGTTTGTGCATGACATAGGAGCGGGTCTTTGCTAGTGGTGAGGTGGTAGAATCAGATATTAGTAGAATAAAGTCTGAAAACAGCTTCTGTGAAGAACTAGATAAAAATCCTGACTGGTGATACATAGGATAGCAGGTTAGCATCAAGTACAAAGATAAAAATCTTAAATTTGTAATTATATCAAGCTTCTCAGCTATGTGATTTTCCTCTAGCAGTAAACATTGGGGATGTATTAAATAGCTATCAAGAAGCCAAAGACTTGGATTGTTCTTGAGTTTTTCAAAGCATCTTACCAGGCCGGGCGCGGTGGCTCACGCCTGTAATCCTAGCTCTCTGGGAGGCCAAGGCGGGCGGATTGTTTGAGCTCAGGAGTTCGAAACCAGCCTGAGCAAGAGCAAAATCCCGTCTATACTAAAAATAGAAAGAAATTAATTGGACAACTAAAAATATATAGAAAAAATTAGCCGGGCATGGTGGTGCATGCCTGTAGTCCCAGCTACTCGGGAGGCTGAGGCAGGAGGATTGCTTGAGCCCAGGAGTTTGAGGTTGCTGTGAGCTAGGCTGACGCCACGGCACTCTAGCCTGGGCAACACAGTGAGACTCTGTCTCAAAAAAAAAAAGCATCTTACCAGAAGGAAAATTGGTAAGAGAGTTGGGACTGTTTTCTAAAGAGTGATTAAAATGTTGGCTCATGGAGTATAAACTAGAAAAGGAAAGGAGAAAAGGTGGAGGAGTAGAGGGCAAGGAGGATAGGGTTGGAAAATTAGCAAAACCGACACCCTGGAAGTTCTCATGATGTCAAAGAACATGGCTTCATAGTACAAGATTCTGAAGGAAAACTAAAAGAAAAGAAAGTATCTAGAAAGTGGGATATTTGAATTTATTATTTCACAGGTGGACCAGTACTAAGGATTGGCAAGATCTAGGAATGTCTAAGTAAGTAGAGTGCCTTAAGCAAAGGTAAAATTTACCAGAAATGAAGCAATCAAGGAACTAGGAAGTAAAGTATTGGATGATGGGCTTTCCCGAAAAATGGCAGAACTTAAGGGTGGAGTTCAGGAAAATTGTAATCCAGAAACTCAATGAATGCAAGGAAGGAGCATAGGTAGATTTATAGATGACATTGAAAAGGAGAGGATGGTAGAAGCAGCCAAATGGCACAGGTTTCCTAGAAGTAATTTTATACAACGGTGGAAAAATAACTGGAATCAGCATTGGGAAAGATAGGGGCTGAACCCACTCTCCAACCCTCAGTATGCAACATCTAATGGAATGAGCATCTGTAACTTTAGGGGGGGTGCAAGGCAAGTGTTCTTGGGATGAGGGGAGGCTTGGTTTCAGTTATGGCAAAAAGGTGATGACCATTCATTAAAGTTTGTTTTCTGTGGAAAGTATGTTCCAGAGAACTCAGTGAAAAGACTTGGGAAGGAGAGGAATTAGCTCTGTTGGATAAGGCAGTAAGCAACACAGCATTATGGGAATCCGTGTACTATGTGGGATGCGCAAACATTAGTGATTATGTTTCTTGGACAGTGTTCAGGATACAAGTGGGAAACATGGCCTCAAAGATTCAACTTATTACAGTTTCACAAAAATGTAATCTTGGTATCTGTATTATGTATTTTTTTGTAATACATATATGCATTGTTTTGTATCCTGTTTCAAAGATAACAATATACTGAACAGTTTAAGTACTAAAATTTATAGAATGCATCTCTCATTGTGAGACAGCACATAGAATGTTTGCATAAAATTAACATTGACATTCTTATCGTAGGTTATCATCCTTTTTTTCAGTTGCTTCCAGTAAAGTCTGCATTATGCTGGAGCACATTTAAATATTTTATGTATTTATATTAAAAACCTTAGTGCATGGTTATTAACAGCTTTTCAAAGAAATGAGTCTAGTATTGAGATGCAACAAGAATGCATCCTCACCTTATCCCCTAAAACTGAGAGTCATTCTAACCCTATAGTTCTGTGTAAAGAGAACAAATGAATCTGCAAATTAATAGAAGTTCAGTAGAATTCTGAGCCCAAAGAATTAGTGAAGTGTTTTTAGTGTTTACATAAGCAAATAGAATCCCTCAAACTTGTAGAATTCATGGGCCCAATACTGTCATCTTTGTCCAGCACATAGTTGCTCAGGTAATATATATTGTATTTATTTTGTATTTTTTTGTTACAAGTATAAAATCAGACCTACTTTTAACCCTATTTCCATCTTTTTATTCCTGTACCTTAGGTCACTTAACCCCTCTAAAAAACTTTTAGAGAGGTTCTTTATCTGTAAAATGGGGATGATTTTTCCTATTCTTCATAGAGTTATGAGGATTAAATGAGAGTAATGTAAAGTACTTAGCCTAATGCCTAATAGTAAGGATTCATTAACTATGAGCTACTTGTTATTGTATATATATTTATTGTTATTCCTTATTTTCCTTCATTTGGTTCATCCAGGATTCCAACAGACATTTAGTATCTAAGTAAAGTTAACAACTCTTTACCAAAGTTAATAAATACTATTGAAACTACCAAATATCATGTAAGCTGTTAAGCTAAATACCTAATGCCTTAAATGTCTCTTAAAACTTTCATATGAGATACAGGCAAAGAAGTTTACACAGAATACCATCAGATAAGTTCTCCTTTGTTGCTGCAGTAAAGCAGTAGTCCTGTGACTACCTGAGAGTCATCCTGGGGACTTACTAAAAACAGGCACCACCCCAAGATTTATTGATTTAAGTTCCCCAAGTGATTCTAACGTTCAGCCTGATTTGGGATTCACTTTTACTTAGAAATTCAAGCTACCACTTCAGACACTTAATGTGTTAAATGAGTATACAGTGACAAGTGGAAAACAGCAAAAACAGTTTGAGATGTAGTCACATCTGCTCGGCTGAGTGGCTGGTCACCATACCCGCCTGCCTCGTGGCACACACAGACTTGTATCTCACTCGGCAGAGCTCCTTGCCAGTCTCAGATCCTCTGTGTGGCTTGCAGACAGTCAGATGCCGAGACTCTGCTGTGTGTGGGTTTGCTCATTATTGCCAAGTGTTAAGACGTGTCACATCTAAACTTTGGGAATCCTATAGAGTGAGTCTTTATGTACCTCATGAAACTGCCAGAATTTCTCATGTTAAGCTATATTTTCCCTTTTAATATATTTTGAGATTTAATTTTCCATTTGAATTAAATATTAACAGGATAATATGTTTCTGTTAGTAGTTAGGGTTGTCTTTAACATGTTTACCGTTTAGGTGCCTGTGGTTCATGCTTGAAGTTTTAATGACAAAGAATGAAAACAACAGCCATGCCTTTATGAAGAAGATGGCAGAGAACATCAAATTAACCAGGGATGCCCAGTCTCCAGATGAATCCAAGACAAACGAAGTAAGATGAGTGTTAGACCAGTGGGTGTTAAAACCATGTTATCATGACCATTATGTAAGAATTTAAATTGCAGAATGTTCACAAAATATATTTATAGTAGTTATTAATTGTATTTCATTACAGGTGAATTTCATTTTTGCAATCTTTAATACTCTGAAAAAGACATTAAAACTTCTGCAGAGTAGGAGGGTGTAAGAATAAAGTGATATCTTAGAAACTTTTAGTAAGAGTTAGTTTTTTTGTTTTTTTGTTTTTTTTTAAGGCAGGGTCTCACTCTGTCACCCCAGGTAGAGTACAGTGGCATCATCATAGCTCACTGCAACCTCAAACTCCTGGGCTTAAGCGATCCTCCTGCCTCAGTCTCCCGAGTAGCTGGGACTGCATGCAAGCACCACACGCCTGGCCAAGAGTTAGATAGATACTCTTTTTGTGTGCTTTCTTTGGTTTGTTTATTTTTAATGCATACTTAGCAAATTCATGTTAAAGTAGAGGGATTTTGTTTTTTTTTGTTTTTTTTTTACCTAGAGGCTACATAAACGGTATTGAGCAGAAATATGAAATGTTCAAGGAATAAGTAACAACCACTCATCCTGCTTTTATTCAACTCTAAATTATATATTTGCTGGAATTGGTAATTGTCATTATTTTGCAATACTGAAAGTTACATATCTTTTTTTTTTCCTCCCTAGAAACTTTATACAGTATGTGATGTGGCCCTGTGTGTTATAAACAGTAAAAGTGCTTTGTGCAATGCAGATTCACCAAAGGACCCAGTCCTCCCGTTGAAGTTTTTTACACAACCTGAAAAGGTAATTTTCTTTCACTCATTTTTCTACCACAATAAAGTGATTTAAATTTCACTTACTATCAACCCTAGTGGCAAACATTGGATTGTCTTGACTATAGAGTAAAAAATTACCTCTGGGTTTATCAAGGAATGAGAGATTGTCTTCCATGGCCCTCAACAACGTCATTCCCTCTAGAGTAGAATATAAATCAAGCTTGTTGCTCCTTCTGGGAATTTCTAGTATGAAGAGGAGTTTTCAGATTTTATAAATTATTTTAATCTTCTTTTATTAAAACAATGTTAGTATTTTTACAGACAAAAAATTTTAAATATCTGGTACAATATAAACATAAATATGATTATATGAAATAAAATGTTAGGGTTAATGGATTTGCTCTTAGCAATTGATAGTCTGGAATTCTAATCAACTACTTCTAACTTGAAGGACAAATTAACTCCTATAAGCCTCAATTTCTTCATCTCTAATGCAGGTGTTAATAATAATATGAACAATTACCAATATCTGGGTTTATATGAAGAGTTTATTACATAGAAGCATTCAGTAAATGGTATTATTAATAATACACATGGTACATTTATTCTGCTATCAGAGAATTAAGTTTTCCATGTAAGTAAATTTTCCAGATAACCCAAGCTCTATAAGATTTTCTAGCTAATTTGGATTTTTTAAAACTTTATTTTTGTTTTTTTGTTTTTTTTGAAATGGGGTCTTGCTGTATCACCTAGGCTAATCTCGAACTGCTGGCCTCAAATGATGCTACCATCTCAGCCTCATGAGTAGCTGGGATTACAGGCATGACCCACTGCGCCTGGCAAAACTTTTTAAAAATATCTTTTATTTATTCTTTTTAGGTGGTATTTTGAAGTTTGTTTAACTTTCCTGTGATTTATTCAAAAAACAGAATCCCAAATATTTTTAATTGGAGAAAAATACAGCATTTAAAACATTTTTACACATTTTCAAACCTATAGATATGCCTCAGTAACAACCCCCTTTGAGTATCCTGCAAAAGAGCATTCTAGGAAATGGAGCTTCCTAATTTGAATGCCATACTTTGCTAAAATTTAATCTGATTTTCGTTATTGATTTAGTATTCAACATTTACTATGCCTGGCTTTTGATAGCAATAATAAGAATTGCAAAAGTATTTGCCTTCTAATTGAATCTACTGATCTTCATGAATATTCCTAAGTGAGCTCTGGAATTTAAATTTATCCTGTTGTTGGCCTAGGGCCATCTTGACTGAAATGGTACCCAGGTAGAATCTCCATAACTGCAGTGATACCATAATCAGGAATTAAATTGCGTTTGTCATTACACCTACATGGTCCCACAGACAGTATTTTTTCATTGTTTTTTCTTTTGTTATCTGCAATGTATAGTGTTTTTGTCTTAATAATAACCTAAATTTTTCTATTTTCAGTATGTAACTTTCCACATTTCCTTTTCTAATATGTTGCTTTTAATCTGTTACTAATTCAAACACTTGAACACTAGGCTTGTTAAGACAGTGAGCCTAGTGAAGCTAATAGTATATCTTTATGAATGAAATGAATGAACTTTGGTGCCCAGACCTCATAACATTTATTTTATCTGCATGAAAGCCTTTGTGCATAATAAATGATACAGCTTTGCCTAGCACAGATGAGAAAAGTGTGATTTCCTCACTGGCATATTTAAGCCCTTTGTTCTTTCTCATGATACTAGTGTGAAGGTAAATTTAATGAAAGAAAAAATATATTTTTAATGACACTACTTAAAAGTTAATTAATTTCTCGATTGTAGTAGATACTTTTGCTTCAGTGACACACCATTGTGGTTTATTTGTTTGCAATTTTCAGAATATTTACCAGGGAGAGGCATCAAAGGATCAAATTTGAACTCTTAAGTTTTATATAGATATAACTTTCAAAAAAGTTCCATAATTGTCTGCATTTGGTTTAATTCATTTACTAACTGGTTAATATCACTGCTATCAAAGAACATTAATACTCACTTGATTATATTTTGATGGTATATTTACCATTGTGATTTGGACCATCAGTCTACTTATGGTTCTAAGAAACAAAATATTTTTAATTAAAGTGACAGATATTTTTCAATGAGGATAATTTTCTTAAGATCTAGTGTGGAGTTCCTTCGGTGAATATTAAGTGTGTCTCGTATGTACGTAGTATCATATTGGATATTTGAGAGCTCAACAGTTGATTTTATGATAAAGTGGAGAAGGTGAAGATAATTTAATGAATAAACTGGAGACTGTTTGCACTGAACGATATGAAAAAATAAGAGTGTGCTTTATTTAAAATGCGATTTAGGAAATTTACCTCTGACATTTGCCTAAGTCTTATGTGCCATTGATTTAATTTAAAGCTAGATACATGATATGGCTCATTAAATGTGTTTTGATTATTTGATGAATTGGTATATATGTTAGCACCAATGTAATAATTATTGCAAGGCACAGAGCCTGAAAAGTCTTATTGGGACAATAAAAATGTACATGTTCACGTTGATTGATGTATCCTTTTTTTTTTTTTTAAATAGGACTTTTGTAATGACAAAAGTTATATTTCGGAAGAGACAAGAGTACTTCTGTTAACAGGAAAGGTATTATGTTCTTGATAATTGGGGATGTTTATTTCATTCATATATATATATGTATGAATATATATATATATATATATATATATATATATATATTCTGCTATTCCTATAAAATACCTTTTAAATGTCCCCTAGAATTTATAGTTCCTGATTCTTAGGGATTATGTTGTAAATTTGTAGCATCTAAAGCAGCTGCGTTCTCAGAATTTTTTCTGTCATGTCTTCTGAATCACTACTGTGCTTTCTCATCAGTAATGATAAGCTTCAATTTATTTACAATCCACAAAGCAGACTTTCCTGAGAAATGGTGTAATAAACTTAGATGTACAAGATAAAGAAAAATAATAATTTTAAGGTACTAATGAGCTACACAATTTATATTCTGTAAAAGTGATGTGATGGCACCTAAAAGAGCAAAAGGAAATTTGATTTTTGGTAAACAGTCACTAAGCTATTGCTATATATATTCAATAGTTTGTTTATAAGACATTTTATTATGTACTTCACTGTATTTTAGGGGTACTCTTTATTTTGATTGAATAATAAGGGATAATAAATTGTCTAGTTATTAAGTAGAGTTAATGCTTATGACTTTTAATTGTATTAAAATAACCAAACACAATTTTACAGAATTATCATCTCTAATAAATTTAAGGTTGACTTTCCAAGGCAATAAAAATCTCTTGGCTTAGGCTGAACAACATCTCTCATGTGTCTAAATTTACATGTATTCCATTCAGTGAGTTATAAATAATGTGTGTGTGTGATTTTTAGCCAAAGCCTGCTGGAGTACTAGGTGCAGTCAACAAGCCTTTATCAGCAACAGGAAGGAAGCCCTACGTTAGAAGCACTGGCACTGAGACTGGAAGCAACGTTAATGTAAACTCAGAGCTGAACCCTGCAACCGGAAATCGATCAAGGCAATTTTTTCTCCAATTGTTTTTGTTACTAGCACTCACTACTTGGTTTATCTTTTAATATATTCTGTGTTTTGGTACAAAATCACACTGATAAGTTTTTGATATTTTTAATGATGACAATCAAGAATGAACTATACATTTTAAAACCACATAGCATTCTAAGTGGGTAGAAAATTTAACAGAGAAAACATAAGAATTCATAATATTACAACTAATTTACATAGAAATGTTTGTTTTTATATATATAAGAAAATTCAGGAGCCGGGCACAGTGGCTTGCACCTGTAGTCCCAGCTACTCAAGAAGCTTAGGTGGGAGGATTGCTTGAGCTCAGGAGTTCAAGACTAACCTGAACAACATAGCAAGACCCACCCCCCATCTCAAAAAAAAGAAGAAAATGCAACATTTAGGAAAACTGTGAAAATATAACTCTTTTAAATAAATTGGATTGCTTTTTAATTTTTAACCCAGATTAGTATGAGTTAAAATATCATTCTAACATTTTCCACTTATAAAAATGTTCTGTGTTTATATGAACATATCAAGCGTTTACTGCATTAGCCACTGTGTGAGAATTTCCACTTGATCCTACCCTTTTTCTTCTATTATATAAACATAATTTTTTATCGATACATAATTACACATATTTATGGGGTACATGTGACATTTTGATATATGCATACAATGTACAGTGATCAAATCAGGGTAATTGGGATATCCATCACTTCAAATTTTTATCATTTCTGACCCTATTCTTATCAACAATAAATATTGAAGGTTTTAAAGAATAGTTTTATTATTGTGTTTCTTGACAATCCTTTTGTGAGATGGTTTTAGGCAGTCATTTCTGTCTTATGTTTTTACGGTTAAATGGAAATCAGTAACATGATATAGTAGAGCAATAGTCCATAACTGTAAGAGATCTGAATCTTGCTATTGTTTCTTCACTTGGTGAGGTTTCTAAACCAGCCTAACCCTTTCCTTATTGGTGTAGTAAAAGAGGGAACTTCTATTCGTGTAGTGAAATAAGAAGCCTTGGTTTATTTTTCTTCAACAGGGAACAGAGTTCAGAGGCAGCAGAAACTGGAGGTAGTGAAAATGAAGAGAACCCTGTGAGAATTATTTCTGTCACACCTGTAAAGAATATTGACCCCGTAAAGAATAAGGTAAATTTAAAAGTTTAACAAGTGGATTTTTCCCATAATTGGAATCTTACTAACATTTTATAGCAGGGGCAAGAAAAACACAGCCAGCAGGTTAATGTCCAAACTGCATTTTATACACATGTCTCTACCACTCCCTGCAGCACTTATTCTGCCTCATTCTCCAAAAATGATTCTGCTTACATGCACCCACTTTGTTTTACAAGAATTTTTGTGGTCACCCATAATGGTATCCTTCTCCCACACTACCCATCCCAACACTTTGAAAGGATAAGAATTGAGAGTTTTTGAGATCTTTTCAAAAGTTTGTTGATTCTTGTCAGAGGTCAGCACTCTATTTTGTTTTTTACTGTATTTTTATGATTTAGCCATTTAAAGTGTGTTTGAGTTTTCATTTAACAGCTACATTCTTCATTGTTGATCTTTAAATTATGGCACCTAATTTTCTTTAACAGTTTTTTGGCAGGAGAGAAAGGAGTATCATGTAATTGCTAGGAGCGTCAAACAGACTTGATGCTACATCCTTACTCTGCCACTCACTGTCTATGTTGATTTGGGCAGATTGCTTGACTTCTCTAAGCTTCCATTCAACTGTAATGAGAAATTGATAACTTATCTCAGTCGGAATGGCTTAAAGATGCTGAATATTTTTTTCCCCACAGAATCGTATTCTTGACATGCTTATCTTTTTATTGCTCACCATGTATTTATTCTGATCATCAAATATTTTAGGTATTACCCTCAGGTACATAAAATATAATAGAACTGTGAGTTTTTCCACAGTAGCTTAACTTTTCCTTTCTAAACTCTCATTATCTGAACTCAACCTGAGTAAATAAGGATAAGTTTTTAGATCAGATTCTTACTATCTAAACTCTTGCTTTTTGCTATTTGAAATACAGCATGCCAGTGGATTCAAGTGACAGGGTACCTCTCACTATCGTAACTCTTGAATCCAGGAACCGAAAGATTGAATATTGTAGGATCCTCGTGTAGAATTAAGCAGTCTTAACATAAACTTAGATACAAAAATGCATATTGCCACAGACATCCAGTTATATCATGTACTCATAATGCACATTAAGAGGTGGTACGTTGGTAGACATGCAAGTGTTTATCTAGTGCAACCAGTCATCTGTAACTTTTTCAGCCTCTGCCTAAAATTGTATGTAATTTTGATAAATTAGATATTTAAATTCTTCTAATAGACAAAAGGCCTTACTTTCTGATTGATCTGTAATATATTATTCCAAACCCTCATTTTAACTCATACTTCCAAAGCCTATTTTAACCAATTTCCTGCAATCCAAAGAGATGAGGCTTGTATTTTGACCAAAACATGATGACTTCCTGGTCTGGTCCCCATACATTTATAGGGACATTTCTTTCCTAGGTCTGATTTTCTGCCCCATAGGCTCAAAAAACTATCCTGTTAGTATACTAAAAATAAATATGAAGATCTAAAGGAGTGTTTCTTGCTAATCAGTTTCTCAAAGAAAATGATGTATAAACCAATTTATCAGTTCATATACGTGAAAATTATTCAGCAAAGTGGATATGCATGTTTACACATTGGCACATTTTCTCCTGTTATTTAATACTATGTGGGGGAAATTGTAATATGAAGGATGAATATGAGACGTAGTTAAAAGCAGAACCGTGACACACACATCCCATGGATGCAGGCAAGCAGTACTGCCATTGTTGTCCTCTAGGAGTTTTCTTTTTCTTAGTCCCTGAGACTGCTGGTTCCCTCTTTATTTGGCTTTTGCATGGCTCTTTGAACATATGCACAAGTATGTAATTTTCATAAATACTTAAATGTGATCGTGTCCATGATTTTTAATGTCAACTTTTTCTTTTCAAACAATCTAATCTGTATATGTCCCTTTTTTCTCTATAGTCTTATCATTGTCATGTGTGTATACACATATACTTTTTTTCCTCTTTTTTGCCACTACAATGTTATAATATTCTTTATAAATTTACTGTGTATAAATAAATAATAAAATAAATAAAAGCACACCTACTGTTGCTTTTATTTCTGTGGGCTAAGTTCCTTGTGGTGGGATTGCTCAAAAGATAAATACGTCAGAGATTTTAGATATTTCCATATTGATTTCCTGAAAGTTTGGAACACTTGACATTTCTACCAGCAGGATATGAGAGTACTTTTTTCTCTGCATACCCACCAACAACAGGTTTTACAGTTCTTCTGAATTTTTTTCAGCCTCCAATGTTGAAACTACTGCCCTGACTATTTTAATTTGCGTTTCTCTGACAGGCAGTGTGTTCGTTGACCATTTGGATGTGCTCTTCTGTAAATTGCCTGTTCATATTTTCCCCTTTTAAAATTATTCTTTGTCTTGTCTAACTCAACTTCTGATGCTGTAATTATTTTACCACCTTGTTAACATTCTTGCTCCCTTCCAATCCAATTGCCTTATAGCAGCCAATGTGGTATTTTAAAAATGTGATTTGGATTATGTTTGTCCTCTGGTTAAAAATTACTTTCTTTAGCACTAGAAGAAAATCAAAATTTCTTAACATGTCCTGTAAGGCGTTCGTGATCTATCCCGTTCCTGTGTCTCCTGCATTTCTTTTACCTCTCTCCCATCACTCTGGACAGTCTGGATTCCTTAAATCTGCCAAAGACTTTCCCTCTTGATGTACTCTATGCTGTCTTTTTCCTCTGTCTAGAATACTTCACTTTCATATGACAGGGATCTGCATTGGTATTATTTAAATAGTATTTCCCCAAAAGGACCAATTAGAAACTGATGCTTCCTCTTTTTTTTTTCAGAACACCCTGTTCTTTAACCTCTTAGCACTCAGATAATTCGTACTTAAATATTTTTTTAAAAATTAGCCACCTACCATTCTAACCTAGATGAGGACAGGAACCATATCAGTTTTCTTTCCCAGTCTATACCAAACAGCCACAACACCTAATAGACATTCAGTTGAACGAATGGTTCCTACTTAAGGTTAATAATACTTAGTTGTATTGTTGATGCATCTTTTTTTTTTTTTTTTTTTTGAGACAGAGTCTCACTGTGTTGCCCAGGCTAGAGTGAGTGCCGTGGCGTCAGCCTAGCTCACAGCAACCTCAAACTCCTGGGCTCAAGCGATCCTTCTGCCTCAGCCTCCCGAGTAGCTGGGACTACAGGCATGCGCCACCATGCCCGGCTAATTTTTTCTATATATTTTTAGCTGTCCAACCAATTTCTTTCTATTTTGGTAGAGACGGGGTCTCGCTCTTGCTCAGGCTGGTCTCGAACTCCTGAGCTCAAACAATCCGCCCGCCTCGGCCTCCCAGAGTGCTAGGATTACAGGCGTGAGCCACCGCGCCCGGCCCTTGTTGATGCATCTTGTTTTGCCCAGGAATCACCATCTTTCCCCAAGATGACTTTGTGTATCTCTTCTCTGATCCGTAATGTATTGTTTTTACAGTTCTACTCTTGTGGGCCACCTTACTCTTGGTCCTTTTGTGTATTACCTATTCTCTTAAAGTGGGGCTTAACATTAAAGTAAACCCTGGAGTAAAACTGATTTGTGAATTTTTCTCACTTAAATTACATCTCCCAAGAGCTTTCATTTAATTAATTTTCCTTGAAACATGAAGATTTGTAATATTTTTCCCCTCCACAGTCATTCTGGAAAGATTTTCTGGGGAAAATGAAAATTAATTAAGAAGATACAGGCCAGGCTTGGTGACTCATGCCTGTAATCTCAGCACTTTGGGAGGCTGAAGCAGGAGCATTGCTCAAGGCCAGAAGTTTCAGACCAGCCTGGGCAACATAGGAAGACACATTTTTATAAATAACCAGATGTGATGGCACACACCTATAGTTCCAACTACTCAGGAGGCTGAAGTCGGGGGATCACTTGAGGCCAGGAGTTCAAGACCAGCCTGGGCAACATAGCAAGACCCCATTTCTACACACACAAAAACAGAAAAATTAGCTGAACGTGGTGGTGTGCATTTGTGGTCCTAGCTACTCAGAAGGTTAAGGCAAGAGGATCACTTGAGCTCAGGAGTGTGAAGCTGCAGTGAGCTGTGATTGGGTCAGTGCACTCCAGCGTGGATAATAGAGTGAGGCCATGTCTCAAAAATACATAGTCTGATTTTTTGCATGATAATAGTGTTACTTTGCTTCCTTTTAATCAATTAAAGTTATCAATTATAATTGTTTCCTAAATATCATTCATATAAAGGTCACTTGCATTCTCAAAACTATTGTTCCTCCATTATGTTTATTATAGTAAAATGGGATTTTATTACTTTGAACATTTTAGATGACTTAATACATCCTAAACTAGAAAAAGAAAATGTTCAGAGAAAAGGTTAATGATTGATGCTGTAAAGAGACAAAAGTTTGAATTAATGAATGGAGCGAGAATTCAAAATACTTTGTGTCACAGAACTACAAAGATTATCATCGTTAGATGCATCGTAGAGAAAACAGCATATTGATTTATGAAAACGCTCCTTTTGAAAAGTGATAAATTTAGAGCACATTATCCATGAAAAAGGGCCTTTTCATTTGGGGCCAAGCACAGTGGCTCATGCCCGTAATCCTAGCACTCTGGAAGGCTTGAGGTGGGAGGATCGCTTGAGCTTGGGAGTTCAAGACCAGCCTGGGCAAGAGCAAGACCCTGTCTCTGCTAAAAATACAAAAATAAGCCGAGCGTGGTGGTGAGCCCCGGTAGTCCCAGCTACTTGGAGGATCGCTTGAGCCCAGGAGTTGGAGGTTGCTGTGAGCTAGGATGACGCCACTGCACTCTAGCCAGGGTGACAGAGCAAGACTCGGTCTCAAATTCTTAAAAAAGCCTTTTGGAATAGATATGATAGCAAAACAAGTATGGTTTTCTTTATATTTACTGCTTGTGCTTTTAATGCACATTTATTGAGCACATTAAATGTGCCAAGCACCATGCTAGCTCCTGGCCCAGCCCCTCTCCTCAAGGAGCTTACTTCCTAACGGGATGTAAGCAATTAACTAGAAGCCCAGGAATCCCACCTCCTTTAAAATACTTTCCAGATACTTTTTTTATAGGATAGGTCATTGATATTTAAGGAATTTATGTTTATAGAATTGTTTTGTGCTCTTTTAGGAAATTAATTCTGATCAGGGTACCCAGGGCAACATCAGCAGTGACCGAGGAAAGAAAAGAACAGTAACAGCAGCTGGTGCAGAGAATATCCAACAAAAAGCAGATGAGAAAGTAGATGAATCAGGACCGCCTGCCCCTTCCAAACCCAGGAGAGGACGTCGACCCAAGTCTGAATCTCAGGGCAATGCAACCAAAAATGATGATATAAATAAACCTATTAACAAGGGAAGGAAAAGACCTGCAACCAGTCAGGAGAGCCCTGGGGGTTTGGAAGCAGGTAATGCCAAAGCACCCAAACTGCAAGACGTAGCCAAAAAGGCAGCACCAGCAGAGAGACAAATTGACTTACAAAGGTAATATACATCATTTCTTCCTGAATTTTGAGTTTAGACACTTTGTTTTATTCTTAGTATGTATGTGCCAATCACCCGAAACACATAGGCATTTGGGAATGAAAACTGTATTTGGTTTTCCTGAGTTAAGTTACAATGTCATTTGTTTTTATGTCATAATCTTCATTTTTAAGGCACTAATTTGAAGAAAAATCTTTTTTTCTTTGGTTAATTTTTATTTAGTATATAGTATTTTGATTTTTCTGTTTATTAGCAAGGAGAACATTATCTTTTGTCTGGTGCCCTTCAAACGGTTGCATAGGTTTATATAACATAGAGGATTACCTTTGCACACAAAATACCAGAACGGAGAAGACAGTGATGCGATGTGGCCAGGGATAGCCTGCTCTTTAATTCTTGTTATAGTTGATTTTAATAGAGATCAATGTACCTCTCCCCTTCCCTGCCCAGTGAAACAGCCTGTCACAGCTGCTCATCTTTGATGATTCTTGGGCTGGGATTTCGGATTTTCCACACTATAACGATGCCCCATTTGGAGATCTAGAAGGTAGCTCCTTTCATCTTGGCCTACAATTAGAACTCACTCTGTCTTCCTCCTCTCTCCTTATATAGCTAACTCATCTCCCCCTGAATTAGATTGTAAGCATCTGAATTCCTTCTAGAGAAGAGTCCCAGTTTTGATCAGCTCAGAATACGTCACTGAAGCATGTGTATAAGTACATTTAAAATATTACCATTTATGAAATTCTGAAATTTGGGGCTCTTGTATTTCTATGCATTTTAAGTGTTTCTAAACATCTTTTACAACATCTCAGGGCTTCTAATATAGTGTTACCATGAGCCAGACTCAATACTAAGCTCTTTATTTGTTAACCCATTGAATCCTTAAAACAGCTCTACGTGGTAAGTACTATCATTAGCTTGCAAAGTGGAGGAAACAGGGATAGAGGGCCTGGGTAGCTTTAGTCCCTTTTGCTCAAATAAATGGTGGAACCAGGATTAAATTAAAACCAGTATAGGCCGGGCGCAGTGGCTCACGCCTGTAATCCTAACACTCTGCAAGGCCGAGGCAGGTGGATCGCTCGAGGTCAGGAGTTTGAGACTAGCCTGAGCAAGGGCGAGACCCCGTCTCTGCTAAAAATAGAAAGAAATTATCTGGACAACTAAAAATTTAGAGAGAGAGAAAAAATTAGCCAGACATGGTGGCTCATGCTTGTAGTCCCAGCTACTCAGGAGGCTGAGGCAGGAGGATCGCTTGAGCCCAGGAGCTGAGGTTGCTGTGAGCTAGGCTGATGCCATGGCACTCTAGCCCGGGCAACAGAGCCGACTCTGTCTCAAAAAAAAAGAAAAAAAGAAAAGAAAAAATAAAACCAATGCAGTATGACTCCAGAGTTATAACCACTGCACTATATTGTACTTTTAAGATTAAAATTAATTCTTAGCTGGGCTTGGTGGTACATACCTGTAGTTCCAGCTACTCAGGAGGCCAAGGAGGAAGGATCACTTGAGCCCAGGAGTTCAAGGCTAGCCTGGGCAGCATAGTGAGACCACGCTTCCAAAAAATAAAAAAAATTAAGCCTTAATTCTAGTCACTGTGCAGCTTACAAAACTGGCATTACAGTGGATGCTTTGAAAATATTTGCTCGTGTATTTTAAATAGGTAATATAGTTCATATATGTGATAGTTTCCATAAAATGGAATCTGTTTACATACAGTTTTAATAACTATTAAGTAAAATAGCTCACTTATTTAAAATAATCATAGGTTAGGCCAGGAGCAGTGGCTCATGCCTGTAATCTCAGTACTCTGGGAGGCTGAGGCAAGAGGATCACTCGAAGCTAGGACTTTACGACCAGCCTGGGCAACATAGTGAGACCTCATCGCTACAAAGTAATAATAATCATCATCACAGGCTAAACGAGACCAACTGTGGTCATCTTTTTAAGCTGTTTCGGAGTACATGCAAACAAAACCCTGCGATTTTAGGGTTAGAGAGGAAAACCAAGAGAATGATCAGATGTTTCTGAAGGTGGCAAACTTAAACAAAGCATCCAATGCTAAGAATAAGACTGTGGTGAAAATTAGTTAGAATTATGTATAGAAGGTATTTGATATGGTGCCTGGCATCTATATTAGTAGTAACAATAGTGATAATAAGAGAAGTTGGGTGAGCATATATCTGACTTGCCAACAACCATTGTGAAGCAAGTACAACCCTAAATCAGAGGTGAGGGAATGAAGACCTGAAAAGACCTTTGTCAGGTCGCTTGGCCCATGCTGCCCAGCGCAGAGCCTCCAATCCAGGAACGTCCCGTGTTGTCTGCCTCGCTGTAGTACTAACAGTGGTAGCTGGAGTTATGTCTTTCTCTAGCATATGTATTAACAGTATTTTGAAACATTTTTAAACTGTGAACATTCAGGACCCTATTATTTGAGGTTTTTTCCCTCAATATGTAAAAGGAAATGTTTTAGTGCGTATTTACCAATAAACTATGGATTAGACAGATACATTAAAACAAAAGTTCCTTGATGGTGACTCAACAGATGTTTTAACGATGCCTCAATTTCAGGAGAAAACATCAAATGGTCAAAATCCTAAAAGTGCTAACTTTATGTCATGTGGAACTGTAGCTTCCATCTTTCTACAAGATTGTAAACATAGCTTTCATTAACTGCAAATATTACCTGTGAGTGATCTGACATTCCACCTGTATTTTCCCAAGGCCTAGTGAGGATCAAATACAGGTTACAGCTCACATGACTGATCAATTCTGAATATCTACTACCTGGAATCATCCTGTTATGGTTATCCCTACAGTTTCAACCAACTCACTGGTAAAAGAAATAGGGTTGCCAAACCTAAGAGCCGTCAAACATTTCCGAGCTATGGATGAACCCAGGGTGATAGAATCAGCTCTGTTTAGGGGCCTTGGATTGTGTCGTCATGTCTGAAGTGATGCACCAAGTATTAATAGTTTACCCCTGGGTTTTATTTGATAAATAAGGCTCAGCCCCCTTGTGCTTCTGTGGCCCTGCGTTCTGACTCCACGTTACCACTTCATCAGTCTTTCCCTTGTCTTGCGGGACTCTCCACACCTTTCACTTGCTTAACTTCTCACTGCCCAGATGGCCGTTTCCTGCTCTGGGCACAACTCTCTGTGCAGTAACATCTCAAAAGTGCCTTTCTCCTAACATCACCCTAATCGTCTTTACCCTGAACTCCTGTGTAGATCTGAGTACAGGATCCCCGCTCGCCCCAAGGTAACACTATCTACTAGCACCAACTCTGGAAAACTTACCCAGTTTTATTACTTGATATTTATTATTGTATCATATGATTGTTTAGATTTTATCATTAAATAATTAATAAAACCCATTTTCAAGGCCCTAATAATGCCAACTACAGTCTAGGTGCCTTATGTTTGTTACCTCATTTAATCCTTCAGCCTTCAGGTAGAATTCTGACCAGTGTTAGCCTCCAGAGCCATTTTCACAGCGCGTCCCTCACTGCTCGGAAGTGGCCCGTGCTGACCCCTGGAGAATCCTCTTACCAGGTTCTCGTTGGCAACATCAGACCAATGATTTTTTTAGCATGATCCCCACTTACATGATTTATTTACTGGTTCAAGGATATTTTATTCCACCAAAACATAAAGAGTATATGCAAAAATTTACTGGCATAGATTTTATCTGATAGTTGATGCTGAGCATTTTAACTTTTAAAGTTAACTTGAGAATACTTAGATCCCTTTTGCATTTTTGCAGTAAATGTATTCCCTCAACTGTTTTTGTGTATGTTGGTTCCAGTATGTCTTCCTGATTATGTTTTGGGCTTCATTTGAAATTGTTAACTTATTTTGAAAAAATTCCTTCAGTTCACCCAATACATTTCCAAAAACCAGCCATTTTGCACTGTGGTCAGGAAGCAGTTAACAGCATTAACTGGATGTTAATGTTGGCTTTCTGTCAGTTTGGGGTGAGGGCATGATCATCTGTTCAGTAGTTTCGTGCACTTGTTTTTCCTCTATTCGTTGAAGCTATTGTGCAAATGGGAAACAATTCCAAATGTTTTGTATTGAAAATGTGTTTTTAATAGGTCTGCTGATTCTTGAATGTTTTGCTTAAACTTAAGGCCAAATTCTCCCACAAAGAAGAGATTATCAATAAATATGAGTGGACAAATAGTTCTCAAACTTGGGGCTTCTAGGGAATCTGTAAATTTAAAGAGAATATCTACAGGATAACAGATTATAGTTTTCTCATCTTTGGAGTAACATATTTTGGTTAGCATGCTTAGTGTTGTAGTGTTCAAGGATCTTGGAATTTGTTTGTCTTAAACAGAATCTACTGACTTCCTGTGCTCACTTGTATATTGAGGTTTCCTCACAGCACATAGGTCTATATCTTAGAATTAAAGTAAAAGTGTGTATCCTCATGTGTTAAACAGCTGTATATTTGTTTGACATGAATATTTTTTCAGTAACAAGTAAATTTTTACCAAAATAATATGAAATTTTTCAGAAGCCACGTGCTCGGAAGTGATGGCGATTCACTTTGGGACGTAGAGTCAAGTCCAGCAAATTCTTGCAGTGATCTGGATCGTTTATAAATCTGTGCGAGCACCCAGGAAGACACTGAGGACTCAGAGCTAGTGCAGGGAAGCTTCCTGAAGATGCAGCAGGCAGCTTGTAGAGGATTCTCTGATACCATTTTATTAAACTTGCTTTGTATGTTATAACAAATTAATAGTCTCTGTAAGAATATTAATGATCACTTAGCTTTGGTAGCATTGTTGCCTTTATAAAATGTGTATGTAGTCTTGGGGTTGGGGAATGTACCTTTATTTCTCTCCCAGGTTTGGGACTATTGAGAATGAGACAGTCATAGTACTGAACCCTGATAAGGCTGATTAAAAGTGTAGAACGACATACGCAGGGTTGGTACATTAGTAAACGCCTTGCCCCAGAATTGAAGAGCTGCAAGCAGACCAGAATGCACCTCTT